TATGCTCATTTATGTTTAGGAAGTTCACCAAAACTATATTAATAATACCATTATAGAGAATAGAATAGAAATTTCTTTATTGTTAACATTACACAAGTTATATAGGTATACAAATTTAAAACAGTTTAACAAAATAATGTAACAATTGGCGGCCTTATCGCTTAAAGTGATTTCTTCCAGGCAATCATGGGATGGAGAGAGAGAGATAACAATTTATGAAGACAGGGGTGTAAATTTTATCAATAACATTAAAAAGAAAATATGATCAAATAATAATCTTAATTAAAAAATTATAATTATGATTTTTTTTTCTGACAAGTATTACTCACTTTTTTATTTGGAGATTATAATATTATAAAGGATTATTACATCATTTCATCATCATGTTTAAAGGATTGTTAAACAGGTAAATATACTGTTTATAAGATTTTATTCTGAATTATTTTTAATTTAAAAAAATTACATAAAATTGAGCTTAGCCGCAGCTCAGTTTTATGTAACATTTGAAATAACATGAGGCTTTCTGTAACCATATATTAAGTTGCGTGCAAGATAAATGTTCAGCCTAATTAGTATTACCTACATGAAAAATACATATTCTACTGTTTTTGACACAAAGTTTAACCCAAAGAAAACTGTCATACGCTATGATGGGTTACAATTTAGAACAGAAAAAATAAGCCTGTGAATCAGGAGCTCTTGTTCAATTTAGCAGGAATTTATATGTGTAAGTTCGTTTATATCAGTTGAAACTTATACTTAATTTGCTCATAGTCAGCATGGATGACAGCTGCGAGCAGATCTATGCAACTACAAGAATTTAATTTGTATACAACTTAATGTGAAAGATATGTCAAATCATTAATAATTTTCTCTGATCTTACTTATAATATCTAGTCAATAATGACATTTCTAATGGGTTACTATAACAAACATTGTTTTAAATTTAATCTTGTATAGATTTTCCACAGTATATATTATGTTGCCTTGCTTGATTCGGTGTACAGATGTAGGTATAGCCAGATTTCGAAAGATATTGGATTCATTTCATCATCAATAATTCTCTCTTAAATGTCTACTTTCAGTCGACTATCGTTTATCTTCTTCACTATGTTATTAATACGTATGAATATTTATTTTCAATCGAAAACTTCTTTTATTAAGGGCTTTCGCATAATTCTGCCAATTTCACGTGCGTAGCCAATACATGGTATGAATTATTTTATAAAATTAATTTTGTAAATAATATTTTCAAGTATAATGTTTCACTTTCTATTACAGTTTAATATTACAAAAAAATACACACATGCGGATTGTTTTAGTAGATATCCCATATTAAATTGTCATTTACAATTCAATTTTGTCAATTTCATTCTTCTTTTATTAATGGTATATCTGCGCATTTCACACAATTCTGCCAAAGTTAAGTGAATAAATTAATTTCTACATGTAAAATGAAAAAGTAATGAATGAAAGATTAATTAAAACATTGTCTGTATCATTGTGGTTTGTATTGACAAAAAGTGAATTGGTGTTGCAATATGAAAATCAAACATCAATGAGGAAGTATTTAAAAAATAAAAATTAGTTCTTGAAATCATACTAGATGTCACTCGTGATGTTTGGATTTTGTTTATGATATTCATTCAAATAACGTCAAACGTCAGAAATGACGTAATAAAAGTAAATTGAATATCGAAAATTAATAAATATGACATCGTTTTGTGTTTCTTATGATATCTAACTTTCAAACTAATTTTAATTTATTTATCGTAACTTTAAGTTGTTTATTATATTACATGTAAAGAAACGATGTTTGGTTTATACGTCAACGTTAGTGATGAGCCAACTTATTGGTTGCTCGTAACTTTCATCCGAATTCAGGTTTGGAATTAAGAACAAAAAGCACATACCCACCGTATGAATTAACTTAACACATGGCTCGACGTCCGCCGTCGACATCTAAGATCACTAGCAATAGTATAATAACTGTACGTGTCTTTGTGATTTGAAATTTAAAGTTTAAACCTTGCTGTTCGTTTAGAACAGACGTTTTTTGTTGATTGCTGAATGTTTATTAAGATGATTTAATTATGAATTTAGGATCTAATAACTGATCATAGTTTTTTAAAGTTTTAATTTCGAAAGCACTAGTTATTTGCACGTAACACTTTGCACAAACGTCATTTTAGTTAGAAGTCATGTTATTTTGTACGAATACATAGTATATTTGATACATATCGGGTGTTTATAGATAATAAACGGATTTTTTATTATAGTTATTGTTTTTATGACTTTTGTTGACGATTAATAAACCTTATTCATCCATTCACCATACATAATATAAAAATATTATTGAGACTTGATATAGTTTTGTTGCTGTAAGTTCAAAAAACAACTAATAGCAATAAAACTAACTTACCTAGTTGTTATTGTTTTCAGAACTTTTGTTAAATATTATAATTAAAAATTCCTAATACTAAAAGAAATCCTACTATGGCATAAATAAATGGCATAGTATTTTATTTATAAAAACTATTTGTAATATTATTGTATACCGTAGCTAAATGCCACTTTTAATTATATCACAGCGTTAATTCAATTGATTTCCATAAATTAAAAAAAAACCTCTGTTCTCACTTGCATTATGTTAGTTTCCATTTTCCTCTATACAAATAAAAAAGAAATTTATTCAAAGATTACTTTATATTAATCGAGTTGCGTTTACATAACTCAAACTAATTAAATTTCAACTCGATATTGACGATTATCGAACAACACTGACGATTCTATTCTCTTTGGTTTAACGTCATGAATTGACGTTTAGATCCAACAATTTGTGCTGCCATCTAGTGACATTAATTTTTGGAGTTTCTTTATTTTTTTTAAATACTTCCTCATTGGAAAATAATCGATTAATTCACTATATGTAATAGAACTGTAGTAACATTTATTGAATAAAATTTTTTTTAATATACTTTTAGTTAATTTTGGTGCAATTTTGCATTTTTCCTAAGTTTTACGGACTACTACGGTTGTTCAACAATGCCCAAATAAATAAATAAATATATATATATATTATTATTATTATGTAATTTCCAATGCCCGTAATTGGAAATGTTATATGAAAACCTAATGAAGTTACTAAAGTCATCTGCAATCATCATTTAACTTTAACATTTAATTTTTAGTACAAACAAATATATAAATTTAATGATTATTTTTGTTGTACATTCTTTTGAAACGGAGTTGTTTAAAGTAAAGTATACACCTCTGGATTAATGCTCGTCCTAGTCTTGGACTGATTGCATACCTCACTTATTACAGTTTGTTAGTGACCGAAAATGAGTCAAAACTTTTCTGTTCACGACCTACCTATGTAGGTACCGTTTTATTTTACGGAATCATATTATTCACTTTCATGCTACTTTATCTCACATAATAACATTTATTTTGCTAATTAAAACTCGGTATAAACAATAAAATAAACCGACACCATTCGAATTTTGAAACTTAACTCTTTAAGCTTGACGTTATCTTTAGTCGACGCCAGGATTTATAGTATTTCATCTGACTTTTTTGTTAATTAAAAGACTTAATTATATCGGATTTATGCTTTAAATATTAAACATGTTTAAAGTTGAGTGCTTAATAAAAGTTAGAATTGGGTATATGACGATTTTCTGAAAACTAATTAATTAAAATAGTTGTTTGATACATTATAAACACACTGTCAATATATTACATGAGAATCTGTTCTATTTTCGATGAATATAATTGTTTAAATCTACAGATTCTAAGAAATAAACTTTTATTAGATTATTATCTAACATGATGATAATAGTACGAAACTTATTTTTATAGTGTCAAATACCCATAATGATAAAAATATTAATTATAAATTCGCGTTTTGGGTATTTTCCCATTAACATATGCACTTTCTTAATGTAGCTAATATTCGGGTGTTTCGTCCGTATTTTAAAACGTTCGAATAAGAATATAATAGATTCATTACGTACAGAAATGATAAAAAAAATCAAGGAATGAATAATCATTAATCGTCTCCCGTTTAACTAATAATTTCATTTATTTTATTCTGGTAACACTAATGAGGTTCGGCTTGGTTCGGCTGCGATTTGGCTCCGATTACGTTTCAGTTTAGTAAACGTTCGTTTGATAATTTACGTTAGCGGAATGCAAATTTACAGTAAAAATCGAAACGTAACCGTTACAGAAACGCTATTGATGATCGATCGTTGTAAATTAGTAGAATTGGCCCCCTGGGCAATGTTGACTTAGGGCATCGATCGGACGCGTTTAATTGACATTACAGTTGACTTCATTTTATTCATTCCGGTTCAATGTAGACCAGCAGTACCATTCTGTTAAGAGTACAACGTCGAGTACAGCGCTTTCACAGCATTAGAGATTCATTCAAATAAAACCGAGCCCAAAAGATTATTGGATTTGTTTTCAAGTCGCATAGTCGAAAGTAACTTTCTTTGTATGGGTATGCAAATAAAGATTTATTATTATTATTAAAAGAGATTAAATTCAATTTTATTTAAGGACTTCACAGAGACGAGAAAGCAAATTATAATAATTATTTATATGTATTTCATTTCTTTATGTTATACAGAATATCGAGCTTTATAGAACATTCATGCTTTTAAAATATGTTTGCTGTAAAATATCAAATTGGGCAATCAATTATACTATCGATATAAGCTAACGTTTGGAGGACCAATAAATATTTGTTCGGCTAAGTAATGAACGGTCGAGTAAACTAAATTATAAAATGACTTAATAGCAGTTACTAAAAGTAATTAATCATAACAACCCACGACCAACGGTCGTAACAGTCGTATGCCATCCAAAAAGTAACTAATTGAAGTTTTTTATTTTTAATGATATTTTCTTGATTTTATTAGTGTTTTCGCTGAATTGTTTTTACTGATTTTCATATCATTATTTTTACAGAATAAAATAATAAGAGGATTATGAATTCATCAAGGGAACGCACACCTGAAGCAAAGCCTACGCGTCTGCTACCACCTATAATGAATGGGGATGGCCGACCCCTTTCAGGTAGAACAGAAAACATACAATTTCTAGTGAGAAAAATTATCCCTTTTTAACTTCTAGTAAGTTTTACTTTAGTTAAAGGATTTATTCGAAGAATCTGAATCTGAAGTTTTTGTGGAAAAACACTTGAACGGTTCTTAAACAACATCAAAATCCAAAAGGTGGTGGAGGTGATATGTTCGATGGCAATGCATTTTTTTATTTATGTTCACCAATAGTTCCGCCAATTGTTGACTGATTTTCTAAAATATTTTTTTTTCCGACCGAGGTGGTTCCATTTAAATTTTATCGAAATCGAATCAGTATTTTTCATTTTATAACATAACGAAATACGTTTATTTGTAAGAAATGGCCTTTCCAGCTATAAAAACAAAAGATTATGAAAAAACAAGAGATATATTTGGAATTCATTCTAAATCCGAAAGGTGAATTTTCTATGTTCAAGAAGTATCTGTATTTTTATGAAAGTATGTATGTTAATCGATTTCTTCTATCAAACTAGCTGTTTCCCTGCGACTTTGCCTGCGTAAATTATAGTCTATCTCCAACGCGTATTGAGTAGCTTCCCATAGATGAAAGACTCATAAATCGATCCAATAGTTTCGGAGCCTATCCAATGCAAACAAACAATCTTTCATCTTTATAATATGAGTATACAATTATTGGAAAAAAATATCCCGAGCATATGAACAAAATATTCTTTAGTTAACCACCGTTCATAAAAAAAATAAAAGCATGAAATAAATAATTCATTTGAATATGCTAAAACGATTTAAAAATATTATTCTGTATTTTTCTGAGAATCTGATTTCTATTTTTTATTTCTATAAATATTTTCACAACACTACCTAGCCCGTGCAAGGAATTAAAGATTTCCAATAATTTGATATTCGAGCGGTCGAGATTGGAATTCGTTTAGCATGTATTTTTCGTGTATGTATTATTTAGATGACTTTAGACAACATCGCTGTTACTTTATCGCTTAAATAATGGTCAACATAAAACTCATCCATTAGGCGACATTTGCGATGGACTGATAAGAACATTCTTTTTTTTCGCTTCGAGATAGGTATAGAATAATTATTTTACCGAAAAGCAATTATTTTTTATAACAATACTTTATTCTAAAATGAGGTTGTTCATTTCTTTTTATTCTAAAAGGAAAATAGGAAAAATTAATTGCATAACAAATGACATAATAAGGAGGGTCATAAACTACAAGAGTTTGTTGTCAATATCAATCTATACATAGTATAAAACAAATTTATACGTATTATACAAGACTACACGAGTGAAGCAGCTGGCGGAAAGCTAGTTAGAGGCACATGTGTCGTCTAGTATCAAAACCTGCTAGATTCATATTTAATTAAAAATAAGTATTATGCTCCGGCGTTTATTTTTTTTTTAATTTACACTAGTAAATTGAGGTTGTAAACTATATTCAGTATCAAACCCCGCCAGATCGTTGACAACTGAGGTTCAATCTCCACTAGATCCCAATACACCAATTAGCAAACAGGATTTTGACAGTTAACTGTCATGGCGCCATGGCGCGAAGTCCGTAAAAGGTACATACGTACTTAGTGTTTAAATTCTGTTTGGCACAGGTATAGTTGCCGGTACATTGTCGGTTGGATTACGTGCTGCATTTTTTAGGAATTTTAAGGAAAAAATGGCTGAATGGTAAAAGAAAATAAATATGGTACCGCTGCAAAGTCACTCATTAGTTTCAAATTTTGTGTTTATAATACTCAAGGCAGTGTCACTGCGGCTACTTTCGTAAAACAACCTGTATATTACGAAAGATAATACTTTATACTACTCCCAACTACCCGTACTTGACCCCCGTGGTTAGGTTATTTGTAACCCTTTGGCCGGAGCTGGACCCATGGTCCTTGTCGGATTCCGATTCCCCCCCTCAGAGGGTACTCGCAACGGGTTCAAAGAGCCATTAACTGGCTGATGATGGTGATGACATTGACGAGAAAAAAAACTCAAATTAAGAGTATATTTTCAAGATGCGCTTGTTCATCACTAGATGGCGGAAAAAACGGAAAATGAAGGAATTTGTACAGAAATAATTTTTATACCTTTATGAATGTTGAAGATTGAACTTTCTTAAACTGATTTCAACGAACTACCTTTAAGATGACTTCTTCCTAAGTTCGTTAAGTCGGTTTTATTTAAAAAATATAAATTATTTGCAGTTTTCAAATAAAAATTTAACCTTACATTTAATATTTGTTCTCTTCTACGATATCAATCTGACGTCGAGATATTTTGTTATTTAGAAAAATATATAAATACAGGGTCTACAGTACAGTACTACAGTCTGTGGATAAATCATTTAAAAAACGTAAAATAAAATAGAGTCGATAAACTACTCCTTTTTAAAAGTCTGTTGAAACTAGTTTATCTTCTTTGTACTTCAATATGCGCTTCGAATTTGCTTTGATATACAAACACTGCATTATACTTTATGTAAGTTGGGGTGGTAAGGGGGTGCATTCGGAGTTGCGTGAAGGGAAGCTTTAGAGCCAGCACGATGCAACTAGTCGGCGAGTGATCTCGACGGCTCACTCTCGTGCAGATACTGCACGAACATAGTTCCAAATTCAGTATTTGGACTCACTAAAAATTTAATTCAATTGTCAGATATTTTAATGGTTAGTATTTACTCATTCTTGCCCTAACTTAAAACAGGTTTTTGATAACATGCAGACAATATTTCCGCAAAAACTTTAGACAATTTTCATTCGTTTTTAACTTTTTTCAAATTCAAATCTTTTAGCCTTTATCTTATACTTTTTCTTATCGTTATTCAAATATTCACTGATTAGTAAATATGTTAATTTCACGGAAAATATTACTATGTCTCTTTAATGCACTTTTTAAATTAGTTTTTGTATTTTAGGGGATTCCAGCGGCTCCGGTCATTTGACTCCTCGGTTGAGAGATCCTAACACCAAGATGTGGAGCCGTGTTCGTTGCTTCGGCGGCGGCGCTTCTACATCTAGAGGTCTGTTTTTATTTATATCATATTCTAACATCATTGGCGACTTGACCGTGTTACCAAAAGTATTTTAAAACTTTCATATGATCAAATTAAACCTCTATTAGTTTTATTTTTCCAAAAAGAGTTTTTAAATAATAAGTAACACGTAACATTTTGGGCAATGATACACATTTAATAAAAATTAACACTGATTGCGTTTGCAACAAAGGAGTTTCGTTTATTGAAATGTGACGTCACACGAAGCTCCGTCACGGCCGCCTGCGTTTCGGTTCTTGTAATCCACAGATTATAAATAGCAAATTAGTTTTTCAACCTAAAATATTTATTATTACTGTCAAGTCGTCAAATATATAGATAAAAATTGTTGACGATACACTGCAGAAAGGGAGCTGCGATTGATCAGATATAAAGTAGATTATTTTCATGGTCTATTTGCACCTGATTTTGCAGAGATTTTGACTAATTTGTGCGTGAAGCAATATTTCGTTAAAGTCATATATAAAATCTTTAGTTAACCCATGTAGCTATTCCGATTGGCATTTAAATATTTCAAAGGAAATATATATTTAAGTGTTAATAGTTTTCAAAATAACACTGTTAACAACAATATCCGTCTAACATTATTTCGACCTATCAGACATGAAATATTCAATATTTTATTCCTGTCCATTGGACATGGGCCACAGAAAATATAGTCCTCCTTTTTATAAGTGGAGATGAGCCTATTACGATATTTTCGACGGGTAAACTCGTCATCCAATAATCGCCCAATTGTCCGAAATTCGCACAATACACACTGTAGTAGCGAAAAAATTACAAATGCTTGAATAATTTGTCAGTTCTGTCAAGTCCTGGGTGTTGTAGTTAGAGCAATCGCGCGCATTGCGAAAGGTCGTGGGTTCGAATCACACCTCAGAGTACCAGGGGCAAAGTGAATTTTTTAAGCATTTTGCATTAAGAATATTCACTTATAAATTTGAACATTATAAAGATTTCATTAAGTTTGTACATTCTATAATTCACTATAAAAAAATGAAATTGCGGCTAGTCAACGAGCTTTTATTTAACTTGCCGTACTACGTTCATCAAATTTTGCAACCAAATTTTTTGCAGTTATCCTCAACTGATTATTTCGAATCAATTCACCCAGCATTTATTACTGGGCGCGCGTGAAGAATATCTGTGTTTTAGCATCACCAATTCCCATTTTTTTTTTTTTTTTTTTTTTTATGATGTCTACATTGGGATGTAGATCCAAATTAGGATTGGAGATGGTACAAAATGGACCGATTTTTCTACCTTTAGTTTGGGCTGTGCGACAATCGTCAATTAATATCATTTTTTTTTTATATTAGAACTGCATATTGTTTAGATGTAAGAGTATTTCACATTATTCTTAGCTCCAAGTGCCATTCAAGAAAATATAATAATATTTTTTTATTTTGAAAATTACTAATATGATTACTGGTGCTAAGTAATCATATAAGTAAGGTAACGTCAAACTATGCCGCTAAATCCTGGGTAGTTTGACTAGGATCGGCTTCCACCATCTCTCTTAATTCATCGGTATTCACCTGTGTGAGCGGTCTTCCTCGTGGCTCGTTCTTCAAGTCGAAGTTTCCATCAACAAAGCGTTTAAACCAAAATCGCACGGTGAATTCATTAGCAGACCCCCCTCCAAACGCAACATTGATGTTGCGGGCTGTTTCTGCCGCGTTACTTCCGTGTAAGTTGAATAACAAAAGCAATTGAAAGTCGATATTCAAATGTTACAAATTTTTTAAAAGCAGAACATCATAGAAACCATGTGAAAAATGTTAGTTTAGGTCACATAAAAGGTTAGAAAACCACAATCAACTAAACTACTCAAATTATAAAAAATATATCTCTGATAAAATACTTTCAGTATACTCAAAATAATAAGGGACTTTAAGTTTAAGTATGATAATTTAAAATCCTGTCCGTCGTGACTTGGTTAAACCATAATTGGTGCTGCATTAATATGCTCAGAACGCGTCATAGCTTTACTTCACTGCCACAACGCGTTGTGTCCAACTATCGTGTGATCTACGACACAGATTTCGATATGTGGTCTTTCTGTGATAGTCACAACGCGTCATGTGGGTTTTCATCAGTGCAATAACACGAATATCACTATGGATATTTGACATCGCGCTGTGCGTGTTGTTTCGCTTAATGACCATTAACTTGCGTAACATATACAAAACATCGCGTTCCTTTCCAAAGATTTTGAACGCATTTTTTTTTTACTTCATTAACTTTGCTTTATGTTATTAGCATTTATAGATGACAGAAATGTTCTTATTTTTTAATACCAAACATAAATGACCATATAGGTTTATTATTAACATAGGACCTATACTACATTCATTATAACATTAGAAAAAAGAGGGTCATAGAAGCAGCAGTTCAGAACATTTTATTTTCAAGATATTTAAAAAAATATATATTAGATTTTTTTTAAACTTTGAACGTTAGGTAGTCTGAAAGAGCTGGGCAATTTTCCAATTTTCACCATACCTCGGGGTTGAGATGAGGCCAGCATTTTATAAATTCATCTTTTACTCCCAAGCCAAAATGGAACTAAAATTAAAACTATCTATCTGCTGTTTTGATAAATTCTAATTGTAAGTATAATTAGTTAGACTATTGATGAAGACATTGGAAAAACTTCCTGTAATGTCAATGGTTGAAGGTAGGCATGGGGGCTTAGAGTGTAATTTTTGTAGGCCACTCGGGCCTGCACCGGAATCGCAATTTAGCAAAACTTAACAACATAAATCTAATAACTAAAACAAAACTATAAGAAAACAACAATAAAACATTAATTACTCAATCACCGAAAATGACAAAACAACAAGAAAGACAGTAGTATTCACAATGAATGAGAATCCCAGATTACATATTTTGACTATTATGAATAAATCATAATCTGACAAAATTAAAACGCTGTACCTACTGCCGAAACTTTTTAAGGGATTAGGCAACGTTTTAAATTTGGTAGAGTTATAGTGACATGAGAATCATGCCGATACTATCTAACCCTGCTGCTTTAGGTTCTTTAAGATGAACACTTTTTATTTTAATAATTATTCAGTCAGTATCAAGTCAGTTGAATACTCATAAATTTGTTTAAAATATAGCTTAAAAAACTACGGTTAAGTATAGTATTCAAGTGGATATGTAGCAATTAGCCGTTAGTCTTAAAAGTAACATGATTGTTGACAGTTTGTCACAAAGTATACCATAAAAAGAACCTTATTTTCATTCTGTCTAATTCATTATAGATTAATGAAGTATAATTAGGATGTTCTATTGTTATATGACTTACCATTGTCTCTTTTATTTTTCACCTTCCGATAATACTGGTGTGCAGCTAAAAATTATTAATTTTAATGTTTCTTTAAAAGTTCCTTTCAAATTTCAAACTATTTGTTGCAAATATATGCACTTCAGTTACTGCATTTTATTTAGATTTTGAGGAAATTTGATAAGTAACTTTATGCAATATCTAAAAGCTTTGACGGAGTTACGCTACTTGAAGGAGAGATGGAACGAGAAATTGTTATGTTCTCCGGCACATCCGCAACAATTTACTGTTGTTTTCTTTCATCGACTATATTAAGTTTGACTATTTGACTAATTTGAATAGGTACAACTATATATAACCTTTATATACTGATGTGATGTTTATATGCTGATGTTTTAAGAAAAGTAACCTATATATATAACCTTTAATTGTGCTGGGTAAAATATATATCACATTGTTTTTAATTTAGAATTCTGTAAATATATTATTATAGTTTTTATTCATTGTTAATTTATGTGATATGATGTTTTAAGAAAAGTAAGCTGACAATACACTTAGGTCAACCTAACTTCAAAATTTTATAAATGGATTTTTTTAAACTTGTTTATTTTGAAGATAGCGGTATCTAGATATATATAACCTAATATATATAACCTTCTTGGATGGCAATGATTTACATAAGCTTTATACTTTTAATAAAGCATTTTAGAATAATCTTACCGATGTTATGGAGATACTTCTTTTTGTTTTATTACTTCGACTGTCTTTTTGGCTGATAAAAGATTAAGTTGCTAGCATTTCTTGTCAAATTCTATGGCTAGGATATGATTACGGAGTAAGTCGCACCCTTGGTACCAAGATTATAAATGTTTTGAACATATCAATGTTCAAAAATAATATAAATGGCGCTACGCATCGGTGAAAATTGCAACCGACTTAATTGAGTTACACTTACTTGAAAGTATGATGTTTCACAATACTTAGGTAAAGCAACCATTTTGAACATTATTCAAATACACACATCGACATTGTCTAGGGATATTTTGTATAAAGTTCTAAATTCAAAAAATACTGGCCGGTTTTAAAATCTTTTGATAAAAACTTATTTTGTACGCCTTTTTTAATGATTTTCAATTTGAATAAAAAAATAAAATTTCAAACAAAAGATTTGCGTGACATAATTCTAGCGAAGTTCGAAGTTTTCAATGTACCTATCACAGAACAGATAAGTACCTATTATAGTTTTTGAATGTATTTTGTGTTAATCGAAGGTTTTAAAACAAGTTAGCTGTTTAGTTTGAATTGGTGCTACTCCATGCATTATGCAGCGACGCTATTTAACAAAAGAGGAAATGTTAAGGGCAGTAGGCATGCTCCAAGCTGAGGCTACTCAACGGAGTATTGCTGAGGACATCGGAACAAAAAAAAACATGACATCACGGTTATGGTCACGTTATCGTGCTACTGGTTCCCGCCTAGTGGCTGAAAGCCACCTAGGCGGGAAGTGCATAAGCACCGAATTTTTGCAAATTGCTGCGAGAAGGAAACCAAATGTTACGGCCATGCAGTTGGTTCAAAGGCTCCAGTGAGAGCACCAGTTGCTTGTGAATGACCAAACTGTGAGGAGAAGACTGCATGAATCTAACTTTCATGCTCACAGATAGCTTCGTACTCCTGCACTACGCCGAAGAAATCGTGGAAGAAGATTACAGTGGGCTCGTGAACATTTGCTCTGGGAAGTTAGCCAGTGGTCTATAGTGCTGTTTACCGATGAGTCCCGATTCGGTTTCCATCCTGATTCGCGAAGAGTACGCGTATGCCATCCATACCATGACGGGACGATTATGGTTTGGGCGGGAATTCGTGTTGGTGGAAGACCAGACTTCGTTTGGATCAAAAACACTATGACCGCTGAAAAATACCTCAACCAAGTCCTAGTACCAGTAGTCTACCCACATCGACTACAAATGGGTCAAGAATTCACGCTTATGCACGACAATGCTCGTCCCCACACAGCGCGAGTGGACACCAGCAGGCTGCAAGAGCACGATGTATCTGTCTTAGACTGGCCCGCGCCAACACCAGACCTAAATCTCATAGAACACGCGTGGGGACATGCTCTAAAGAAGGGCTTTGAGGAATTTACCTACAAACATTGTCACTGAAGAGCAACTTTTTTTGCAACTTTCCAGGACCTGGGACAATATGCCGCAGCAAAACTTTGATAACTTCATTCGAAGCATGAAATATCGCTGCATGATCGTTGTTAACGTCATGGGTGGTTTTATTGACTATTGATTTTCGCAAAATTGCAAATAACGGAATAATTTCGCTATATTTTTCACTTTTTCTTGAATACACATTTATCGATATATTTACCATTATTCTACTTTACTTAAATAATTTATTTTTAGGTACAAAAAATATTTATGTTATATTCTATAATCTATGCTAATAAATGGGTTTTATAAAAATATAAACATGTTGTATGTTATTCAGAAAAAAAACTGAGAAAATTAAGAATAAGTAAAATATCCCAAGACGATGTTGATGTGTATAGTTTTAATTATTAATATATCTAATAATAATAAAAAAAATACTAAAAACATTATTAGCAGCTATGACATTGCTATATAGGAGGCAGGTAGGAGGAATTACAAGGTCAGTTAATTTAATTTTGTAATGTGTTATCAAAATGGCAAGTAGTGCTATTTTTTTATAAAAAAAGCTAATATCATCGTCGAGCGCAGCGCTGTATTAGCATAGTGATTCAATCTGTTCGAGGCTGTTTTATAGCTGAATAGGACGTTGCCTGCTTTCCTGCATTACATTTGCCATCTCGTTTTTTTTATTCTTCCAACTATAAAGACGCAGTGGGCTCTTCAGAGAACCATTTTGTTTTATACAAAATTAAAGTCCCAATTACCAATCATAATAAATAAAAAAAAAGACTTTATACTTTAATGGTTGTTATTGTTGTTGTACTTTATTGTACATACGTGTGTTTTAATTTTTAAATAACACTTTTAACTGGTACTGATAACCCTTTCTTATCATTTTGTACATTGAAAATGAAATGTTTGTATTGGGATCTCATTTAAAATTTATGTTTTATGTAATACAGTGATATGCTTTACAGGAGATGAGACAGAAGAAATAAGTAATTATCTAGATAGAAATAGAGAATTTTTGCAGTCTTATGTAGTGGAAGCCGTGCCACTCGAAGTACTCGAAGGATGGTTTTTTAAGAAAATGAAACATGATTATGTGAGTGTTCCTGTTTCATCATTTGGAAACGAACTTGTACGATGTCACAAAAATCATTTATTATTTAAAATTAAATAATTTTATGTAATATATATACAACCCACCAGTTATTTCGCATATTTTTTTTAAATTACGGTTATAATATTTTTTACAGAATTGTCATTTAGAATCCACAAAAATGATTTTATTTAGAATTTGTTATAATTCCTTTTTGTTAAGATTCAAATATTTATCTCTAAAATGAGATGAAATCGAAATTGCTTATTTTTTGAATAACTAGATAAAAATATCATGACAAAAATAAATTAATGACATTATTTTATATGTATGGATCTAAAACAAAATAATTTCAGGCTCAGGACAGATCGGGTCATGACAGATATACAAAATTAAAAGACAGAATATTATCCAAGTCACCGTTTGTTGTAAGTATAAGTCTTTATTTCACTTTAAAAACTTATATTTACGAATATCGTTTTTTTATATACGAGAATAATACATTTTTGTTACATTTCAGAATTTAATGCAAAGATTAGATGGTGATCTAAGTGAGCATACAGTGATTTTGGAATTAGCTAAATCAATAGCTAAGTCAGTTGGAGTTGATGCATACAGAGTTTATAAAATTTATCCTGATCACCCTGAATTTGTGTTATGCTATCCAAAAGAAATAAAGGTCAGTTTGTAAAATGTTAAGCTTTTCTTATTAATTACAATTATTTGTCAGTTAAAAATATATTTAATTTAAATGGTTAATAAATAGGAAAATAAAGAGGTTCTTTCTTTTTGAGATACTAATAAAAAGGTATTTCGCAAGACACCGTTGAAACTCTGCCATACTGTTTGGTAAAATGCGTAACTTGAATTTCAGCACTCACAAAGAAAAGTTGGCAGTTTACAAAACTTTTTGATTCTACAAAGGTTCTTTTTGTGCCGAATTAAAAATACATTGGGAAAGGTTTCCTTATTAAGAAACAATTACAAAATTTCAAAGGTTTGAAACAAAAACAACCCCATATTTCCATGAATCTTTATGTGCAATACAAAATGCTCCGTGTTGAAAGCGTTCAACATTAACGTCACGTAATATGCATTTCTAGTTAATTTTTTTCATTACAGAAAAGCGCAGATTCCGGCTCTTCTGTTCACATGGAAAGAGCTAATCCTGAACATATAATACTCGCATTAGATGCTGCTAAAAAGAGGTCTTGTGTGCGAGTTGCCAGACATGAAGATCCAATGAGATTTCCAACTACCCCTCTTGCGTTGTTTAAGACTTTTAAAGTCAGAAATGTGGTACGGTTAAATTGATTGCTATATTGATTATTTATTTTGATAATTTATAATAACGGGTGTCCATTTTTTCCAGAGAGAGGCCAACTATATCCTTTACCAACCTATACTTTTAGCCACAGGTAAAACTGGTTACGTAGTTGAAATGTGGCGAGTGAAGGATAGATTTAAAGAAAGGGACGAAATAATCAGTTCCAGCTTTATGACATGGGGGAGCGTAGCTCTTCATTTCTGCTCATTGTACTTGGATAAAAAGCGGGAAAGCAATATGACAGATTTCCTGCTAGATGTCGTGAAGTAAGATTCTGAAAAACATTTGTAAATAGTTAATAGCCAGTGTTCATATGATTGATGTTTGCTTTAATAATAGGCGTAATTATATAAAGTAGTAAAAGTTGTTATATACAATATTTAGAGTATTTTAATTTTATTGAAGAAGTTATTTTGTAATATATTATAATATGGTGTTGTGTGTATGTTGTGTAATTGGTATGCGTAAAAGCTATTTTATACAGCTATATTTCTTTCAAGGGCAATATTTGAAGAAATGGTATCCTTAGATCAATTGATTAAGAGTATATTAGAATTCGCCCAGAGGTTAGTCAATGCGGATAGAGCGTCGCTTTTTCTAGTTGATTACATCAACAATGAATTAGTATCGACTGTTTTTGATTTAAAATTCGACCCAGGAACCGATGTTGAGAAAAAGGAAATCAGAATGCCGATTAATCGTGGAATAGCAGGATATGTAGCGACCTCTGGGGAAACGATGAACATACCAGATGCATACGCAGACAGTAGATTTAACAGGTGTGTTATATAAAATCTTTATCATGCAATATAGTTGTATTTACATTTTTTTATGTATTTAATCCATGTAATATCTTATATAGGCAAGTTGATGAAGCCACTGGATATAAAACAGTCAACATTTTGTGTATGCCAATAAAAGTCGAAGGGAAAGTGATTGGAGTAGTTCAAATGGTCAACAAACGAAATAATAATAATTTCACTCACGAAGATGAAACTTCGTTTGAAATATTTTCGACGTTTTTTGGATTAGCTCTTCATAACGCAAGACTTTATGATAGAATAATAAGAAAAGAGCAAAAGTACAGAGTAGCGCTGGAAGTATTAAGTTATCATAACACTTGTAGCGACGAAGATGTAGAAGAATTACTCGCAGATGGTATTGACAATTCAATAAATTTAAATGATTTTAAACTTGATCCTTATCAGCTGGACCACGTCCAGAAGTGCAAATCTGTAATAACTATGTTCAACGATTTATTCAAACTTTCTAATTTTGAATTGTCAGTTTTAACAAGATTTGTGCTTACTGTGAGGAAGAATTACAGAAACGTGCCCTATCACAACTTCGATCACGGCTGGTCAGTGGCTCATGCAATGTACGTTATTTTACAGCATGACATTGGAAAGAAATTTGACTACACTCGGGTAAGTTCTTCTTCTTTTTTAATTAAGAGTTATTAAAATTTGAAATTATATCTGAATAGTGATCCATGTTTAAAAAAAATACAACCTTTTTTTTGTTATTTACAGAGACTGGCGTTATTTGTTGCCAGTTTGTGTCATGATTTAGACCATCGTGGCTACACTAATAAATACATGAGTGAAACAGCTTCGCCTTTAGCGGCAATGTATACGACATCCACTTTGGAACATCACCATTTTAACATAACTGTAACTATTTTACAACAGGTAATACTTTTTTCATATTACAATGACATTAGAAATCCGAGAGTTAAGTAAATATCACACAGTGAGCTACAGTTTTACTAAACAAACCTCAGTAGGTGTTTCAGATACACATTATATTTCTGCAGTATTCAGTGTAATTTAATCTGTTATTCATCTTTTTTTCTAAGTGTATAAAATTTGAGCTCTTCGTCGAGCGTAATATTGTGATAGCATAAACGCTCAATCAAATAAAACTTACCTTAAATGGCTATGATAACATTGCGCTCACCGTTGAGTTTCGAGCAGCTTTTACCAGACTACGGCAAAGCGAAAAGGAGGCTTATGATTTGGGCCGGTATGTATGGATGTATGTAAGAATATTTACCTGTTCCCTTATAACTTCGAAACTACTCATCGTAACTATACGTAAACTATAACCATACGTATTAGAAGCGTTTTGGTTGTCCGCGTACTATAGGCTATGTGACGTTACATTAAATTGGCAATAATAAACTAAGAAACTAAAAAAATATTATTCAATCATTCCGTGTTGGGTATCAAATGAAAGGAAATAAACTGTTATAGCATTCGACTAAGTTGTCAAAGGACGTGACCAAAGGGTCATCGCTATTTTAGATTTCTGACTCCTTTTGCAATGTGCGATTTTTTAGCAGAAACTTTTTTTGTTTTTGCTTTTCTTTTGATTTGTCTTTTCTGTTTTTCTTCTAGTTGAACTTTTATAGGTTTGCTGGATAAAATTTGAGAATGCTTCTTATTTTGTCGCTTAGAAGCTGTTGGTTTTAGAATGACAGGTACATTAACAATATCAGCAAGAGGCACAGAAGTGGATGGAGGTGTAGAATGGATAGTAACGCTCAAATCCTTGTCATTTTCATTAATAGAAGTGGAATCTTGCATTAATGTTTGGTTCTGATTGATACTGCTAATGGACATATTTAAATTTAGTTCAGCTTCAGTTACAGTTCTAGTGTTCATGGACTTACTCAAACTTTGTTCAGCTACAGGTAGATCATGTATAATATTTTCGAAGGTGTCTTTAAATGTGTCAGGATTGATAGGATAAATTCCAGCTGCTCTAAATCCACTAACAGCCTTGCTTATATTAGCTATTTTATTGTACGCTCTTGTAAATAGTTCTCCAACCTCGTATTGGGTTATTCGTTTACCTGGATTATTTACCATGTAGAGCTCACATTCTTTATTGTACGCTATTTTCAGAGGACTGAAAACTGTAAGATCTAGTGGCTGCATTTTATGAGACACATGAGGTGGTAACGAAAGAACTTGGAGATTGTGTTCTCGGAACAGCGCGTATGCTCCCAGGCTGATATGACTTTCGTGATTATCGAGTACAACTAAAACTGGATCATCTTTGGTCGGCTTTACAAAAGAAATGAAATGTCGCAAGAAGTCAATAAATATGGACTCATTTATCCAGCCAGAATCAGAAACAGTAGCTATCATGTCGCTGTTACAACCTTTAATTAGCAGTTCGCTCATTCTCTTTCTTTTGAAGATAAACATGGGAGGTACATATATGCCACTAGCGCTATTAGCACAAACTATTGTTGTTGTAACACCCCGTTCTCCACTTGTCGCTTTTGCTATCTGCTTTACGCCCTTAGGAGCCAAAATTTTGTAATTTTTTTGAACCATGCTAATGCCAGTTTCATCAATATTAAAAATGCGATGACTAGGTATATTGTGTTTAGCTTGAATCACTCTTAGTTGATCAAAAAACAGATTTACTTCAGTGGCGTTAAAAGCGGTTATTCTATTAAGTGAAGTAGCTTCACTTGATAGAATAACCGCTTTTAACGCCACTGAAGTAAATCTGTTGAACTAATGGAAGGATGACGAGACATAAAGCCATAATACCAGTCTTTACCTGCAATCTGGGTCTCCTTGTTAAAATTGTGTTTTAATTTGTTAGCTTCAGCAAATCGAAAAGCAATTCTGCGTAATGAATTTGGTGTTATACCATAAAAAGCCTTGCAGCATTCAAGTATATAATTAAGCAGCTCTTCTTCTTGTTCTTTGTTAAATACAGTGTGTCTCCCTTTTTTTGGTATCTTGAATTTGTCCAGCTTCAATTGTTTAAATAGTGTTGTTTTTGGTATTGAAAATTTGGTTGCAGCTTGGCTCAATGTAAGCTTTTTATTTTTGACATCTTCAATCGCATTGCGAAGATCTTCAATCTCATACTTCGTTGCAGTCTTTCGTATGTAGTTTCGAGGCATCTTAAACAAATCGTACCGTTAGAAGATAGTTTAAAACTACAATCTAGTAGCATAGGGGTAAATAAGAACACTACGGGGTAATTAGGAACATTCTCAATTACCCGCCGGACTCTGTTCCCAAATGCCCGAAGTACTCAATATTAATCAAAATGGCGGCTATCGGCTATAGCACTTTTGTTGACCTTCAAGTAACAAGGGATTCGAAGACAGATATCACATGCATGATTATTACGAAATATGGAGTTTGTAATTTCAAAATAATTAAATTTACATCTATTATAAACCACGACTAAAATTATAAAAGAAATGCAAAAAATATTGTTCGACTCACCGTGACAACGCGCGCGCGGTGTTTCACTTCTAATATCGCGTGGGCACTGAGGGGTATAATATAGCTATAATTATAATACTCGTATAAATTTATTGTTAATTAGAGCGTGATTTGGTTGTAGTTTAGTACTAGGGTTTTAGTTCTTGGAGTTATATATTTTTTTTGTTTTTATGATTATAATTTTGCAATGTTCATTTCAGGAAGGACATAATATATTTTCGAACATGTCCAGTGAAGAATATAAACAGGTTTTGGGATATATACGCCAGGCTATTCTCGCAACAGATTTGGCAGTATTTTTTCCAAACCTAGAAAAACTGAAAAGACTGCATGATAAACGATCGGAACAAAAGTTTGATTGGAATTTACCCGAACACATGTAATTATATTAATTTGGCATATCATAGTGTGCGAATGTCTGTTTGTGGCGAGATTTAAGCGCCCTTTAAATTTGATTTGAAATGTTTCTTTCCTTTACAGACAGCGAATGCTTTGCAAGGCTCTCTGCTTTAAGCAATTTTACATGCTCGGTTTATTCATAATTAAATATATTTAGGATACCTATAATTTTAGTACATTTGAGTGCGAATAATTTATGTTATGTGTTCACAAATGTGCGAATTATTATATATGTTAATTTTTAACAAATATATCAAATATTCAATGTATTTTCTAAGATAAGTAGCTTAAGCAAGTATATTATGATGGAGTACAACATCTACACCCGACACAATATAGAAAACCTCATTTTCTATATTGACCCGACCGGAAATCGAACCCGTCACCTCAGAGATGACAAACCTTGAAACCACTGTGCGAGAGATTCAATATATTTAAAGTACTTTAAATTCAAGTTTTATTAAAATAATTATTATGAATGTCCAGGGACCTCGCTATGGCGATTTCTATGACGGCTGCTGATTTATCGGCCTCAGCAAAGCCATGGAATGTACAACTTAAAACAGTAAAGGTCATTTTTGAAGAATTTTACGCACAGGGAGATAAAGAAAAAGCAGCTGGAAAATATCCTATTCCTATGATGGACAGAAATATGCCAGATGAGCAACCTGCTAGTCAGGTAATAATAGATTTTTTTTTTATTAATTCAGGTATATCGTTATAAACAATTCTAACATAAGTTAAGTTATTCTTTAGTGTTCACAATCTTTCGTAATGTCATATAATAAAGTTTATAATTTTTTTTTATTAAATTTGAATTTAATGTCCATTGTAACAACTGTCTGTCTGTTTGTCTGTACCTCATTTTAAATGACTTGAAATTTGAGGATTTGATTCGATGGCGACAAAATTACATATATATTTAATTCAATATTATTTATCTATTGAGAAATTTATGTGTAGACATAATAAAAACGAGCAATAGTAGCTAATGACTTGAGGTTCAGTAGAAAGATTATTTGATCCACTGGAATAGAATTAACGCTTGGTCATATGAATTTTTATTTTTATTTGTTGTGGCAATGTAAAAAATGTTGTACTGTCGAAGTCAAAATATTTTATCAAATTACATAAATTTCTCGTAAAGAGAATTTTCTCTTAATGAGAGTACATTAGTTTAATACTTAAATTTAAAAAAACTTAGGATTAAGAATCGGAGTAGACGACATGTTAGTCAGATACTCTTTATAGACAATAAATTTATTCATTTTGATTCATGGAAAAGAATAAAAAAATCAATTGAATTCTATTTTTTTACAATCAAGATAATACTGTGCATGTGATTTAAAATAATTTAGTGATGTCATAATTTGGTACCCGCGTAATTTTTATTATTAAGCTTAAAAAATCAAGATAAATCTTGGGTACCACATTTTAATTGCCGTATTTTTATTCTAAAGGCAAAGATAAAGTTAAATTTTGTAGATCAGTGTTATTATTACTATTTATCTAATTATTATTATGTGTAAAATTTAAAAATATAAAATTTATCTTAAATATATTATATTTCATTTATACTTTAACGTATTATTTTATATTATTTGTGACAAATGTCTCAATGGATTGTTTAAAATTTTAAATTTTCCAATACCTTGTGGTTTTTAATAATACTTGATTTTATCATATACTTGCGACATCTGTAATTTCCCTTTAGAAGAACTGTACATTAATATTGTTACTAGCAAAAATGACATTCTCAAAATTGATTCATTTTTTTTTCAGGTTGGATTTTTAAGTCAAATATGTATTCCTTGTTACTACATGCTCGCCAGAATTTTACCACACACTATGCCAATGTATGAAATGGCACAGAAGAATTTGAAATATTGGTCAGAAAAAGCTTCGAAGTCAAGGAAAGAAGAGCTGTTATTTTTAGAGACTATACCTGAAGATTCTACTAGCGATGAAATTTCAAGTGAGAACCTAAAAACAATAGGATCTGAATCTGACCAGAGTGCAAAAATATTAGAAGTGGAAACTGACACTAACAAAAGAGACGATAAACTTAAATGTGATCCACAAAAGAAACATTTGTGCAAAAAGTCTTTGAGTATAGAAAAAATGTCATGGGAAGAAGAGGATAGACCTATTCCAGAAGCTTTAACTGACAGCAAAATAACTACTGCAGTTTTTTGGAGAGAGAGGGAGAGCAGTACATCATGGATTGAAGAGGTTATAGTTCATAACGAACATTAGGTCTATTAAAAAAAAAGGTCTCTCTATCTCTTCATCCATCAACAAATCGCTTCATTTGGTCCTACTTGGTTTCTGGAATACCTGGTGTGTGTATACCTGTCATTATTCGAAAATTCAAAGTGTTAATTCAGTGTTATCAAACGTCACATGATGATGACATCAGCCCGTTTACCGATCTCACTGTAGAGGCTCAGGCCTTCCATAAGGATGGTTAAGTAAGGAGGATGGGCCATGACCTTCCACGCTGGCCCAAAGTGGATTGGAGGGTATAAATGACTACAAATGCAGCTGGGACCAACGGCTTAACGGGCCTTCAGAAGCACGAAATAGCTCAACTTAATAATTTTTTGGTCACTCATCCCGTGATCGACCCTTAAGAAAATTGCTTAAGAACAACAATCGTGGGCCGCAGCGCTCATTCACTATGTCATGGAGTCACTCGGTGAATAACACACAATAATGATCAATTTACTATATATTATTTAATTCGGAATTATGAAATATAAAAGATAAGAATTTAATTTTTTACTTGACTTGCTCTGATAGAACTATAATTTTAATAACGCTAAAATCGCTACAAAGTTTTAACTTTAGCAACCAACAAATTATGATCGAATGGGCTAACAACGCTGGATGCGGGAGGCGCAGGACCGATCACATTGGAAATCTTTGGGGGAGGCCTATGCCCAGCTGTCTCTCGGCTGAAATGATGAGCTAACAACATAATTATGACGAGCGGACGGCCAATTACATTGTATCTCGAATAATTAACAAACTACCGCCGGATATAACACAGTGTATACGTCCACATCACTTAAAGAGATTATTAAAAGCTTATTATTGAAATGTGCTTGGTGATTGAATACTGTACACCAATAATTTTATTCCTAACACGTGTATAACCCTTATGGTTTTCATCATGGCTTAATTAATTATCGTGTTTAATAATAATATACCATCAAATATGTTAGTTTATTTTTTTATTTAATAATAAAAAAATAAACTAACATATTTGTGGAAAAAGTTACAGCAAGAATTTTGACAGTAGATTTCAACATTGATGTAACAAGAACATACGATTAAATAAAGATTGAATTGTAATTTAACTTTTAAACTATATAACAAAAATATATGTCGTGCATGCCCATCAGGTCATAGGATGAACAGTTTCGGAAACTGAGTGTAGTGCACTAAACTAACCTGCAAGCATACGAGACCGTTAACCAGTTTTAATAGCTTCAGTGATGACCAACGAACGAAAAGCAAATCATAATTCTACTGATGATGTTTATTAACGTTATATGGTGTGCAAATAATAAATTAGAGGAATAATAATATGTAATAGTGTAACAGTGTTGGCGATTGAAATTATACCTTAGATTCGTCTTTAGTTTTACGCGAAAAATATTAAAAATATAGTGAATCTATTTATTTATGGTTGTTCAAGTTGGAATTATAAAGTTTATTGATGTTACTTATTAGATTGTTCATAAAATAATATTAATGCGTCCAATTTCGAGATTTCTATTTTTATTCTCACTATCGCTTCTTTGTTAATTAGTTTAATTAAAATTGTTGAATAATTTCACAATGTAGGTTATTTGGAAAATATTACTTTTTTAATGCTAATCTTCTTTCTATATTGAAAGTTTTTAAATAAATATCATGGGTTCAGTAAGTTTTTTCAGTCGTTTTAATGCAAATACTATACTTTCATAATGGGCTCACTCTTGACCTTATTCCAGCCTAAGGACATTAATGAATCTACGGTGGGACTAGATTGCCCTGAAGGTACCTATTCTCTGAATTTATTTATGGTATTTAATTATTTTTTTCTAGAACTAGTTTTATATTTTTTCTAGTAATAGGTATATAAAAATCCACGTGATGTAAATCTAATTAACTAAAATTACTTCTAGTGATTGATTTTCAAGTGATTTTATTTGAGTCCTGCCGTGGTATTTATAATGTATATAACAAAACATTTTATTGTTGACAACAAATAAGAAAATATTGATAGTATTTTAAAATGTATCCTAATGATCCTCTAAAGTGTATAGGTACTGTAAATATTTGTCAGCAGTGCTACTCATTTCAATGTCGTAGCTTTTAATCTCTATAAATCTGTACTTAATATATAAATATATATTTATGATATTACATGTGTGAATTCAAATATATTTGTATTAATTAGTAAAGCATTTTATTTTTAACCCCATTGTTAATATCAATTTATGTGGATAATTGTAATTATACTTATAATACAATTTACAATTACAATTTAATTATAAGTATAATTATAATCCGAGTTCCGTATATAAATCTAGTTAATATCGAAATGAAAATGTACTTTAAAAAATATAAAGTTAAGTATTAATCTCTAGTTAAAGTTCTATATCATTATAGTTTGATAGTTATTTTAATGAATTGCCAGTCGTCCTGTGACGGGAAGATGTTAACAATGAATTAGTTATTCTGCCTGCATCGATACAATTATGAATTCTAAAAAATATTAACTGATATCATAATAAAAAAATCCTATAACACATGCTATACCTAGTAACAAAGTTAGCAAATGTTTTGGAAAGAAAGGTACAGCAGTAGATATAAGTACCTTGTACGTTTTGAATTATATGGAAGAAGTCGTCGTTCACAAGAATAATTAAAGGATCTAGTAGTTTTTTCAGCGGTAATTTATTTAAAAGAATAAACGATTCTGTTGCACAAGACAGTTTATTTGTACTTAGTTAAATATAGTGGTTCGTTAATAGTTTTTGTTATTGTATTAGCCAACAGTGGTGCCACTAATTCCAACGTTATAGTTTGCAACATCGTAGAAAGTAAGGAAAAATCTGAAAATGAAAATAAAAATAATATTTATCTTTTATCATCATCTCCTAGTTAAAATCATTATAATACATTCTGTACTATAGATTTATTAAATCTATGAATTATACACACTATAAACATACATAAGGAAGGCCTGAGACCCTGCGGTCGTAACGTAAAACGGCTGATGATGGTATCATCATATCCTATCATGCTTTTGGTGATTTTGTTTACTTAGACTGCGCTCACTTGTAACTTTTTGTGCCTGTGACATTTTTTGTTCTGTAATCGTGACATTTTGTTTTCTGTCACCGAGGCATTGTGACAGAAAACAAAATGTCAGCTCGCACCACAGAACATGCTTGCATACACCATAAATTAAGTTTTATAGAAATTATGTTTAAAGATCGCCTGATACCTTTCTGGTTGGATTCCCATTTGTTCGGTGATAAATTTGGACACTTCTTTGACAACCATTTTGTTTCGGTTTGCATCTATGTTCCCAATGGATTCTAGAGTGGCTACAGCACCTGGTTTTGTTTGATCTCCACCGAATGATATAGAGCAGTCAGGGGCTATCACACACACGAAAACCTATAAAAAAAATCAAGATTTCGAAAGTAAAAATGTTGTCATAACCAACAATTAAAGTAAACTAAACAGGTCATGTCAAGATTTTTTATTATAATTGTCACCGTACCATACTCACAATTCCAATTCGAATAGATAACATAGCTTAATTGGTCGAAAAATGGATTTATTAATATATTTGTTTACCTAACAGCTTTTGCAGCTTTTGCTTTTGCTTTTTTCTTTTTATGTAGATAAATTTATTAAAGTGGCACTAATATAAAGATTTATTTACGTGAGAAGATGACCAAACATAATCTCATAAATGTATCACATCGCGTTAATATAAATTCATTATTTTGAAATTGACAAGTCAAATAATAATTATATATTTGACTAGTAGACTAGACCAGTATAAAGTGGAAATATAAAGTGGTGAAAGTTTGGTTGCTTGTTCGTTTTAATTTAATAGGTTCCGCAACTACAGGACTTAATTTAATTTCAGTCACCTACGAGAAGCTACATTATACATTTGGGGCTATAATTTAAGGCATTCGAATTCGCGGAAGTTTCATTTTGCACGTCATCATTGTGGACTTTCTACTGACCGCGCTTCGTATAGAACTTTCTCACTAACAGAGGTCTGCTTACGGTAGAGGTTCGTGTACATTTCATTTTATTTTTCAAAAAATAGAACTAACTCCAAACTTAAAAAAAAAGTGAGAAATAATATTTTTAAAGTTTGAAATCGGTTTTATTTTTTGAGAAAGAGAAATAAATTTTAGTGATATTTTATGTTTTTTATAGGTAACACTAAAAATGTTAAATATCTATGTGAAAAAAATATGTCAGCAAAGTGAAAATCTTAGGAAAGAAGATTTTGTTAATGTATTCGACATAATAATAAAATAGTTTTCCAATACATATTTATACTTATATTATAAAGAGGAAATATAACATCGTTTATTTATTTGCATTGTATAATCTCTGAAAAAACTGAACCGAGTTAAAAAAAAAGCACCTACGGGAAGCTACATCATAGGCGGGGGATATAAGCTATAAATAACGCAAAGTGGCGGGAAAACAAATAGTTTTATAGAAATTGGATTACAATTCACGAAAAAGTATGTGGAGATACCTACTTACATAAATACCGACGTTGAATATAGAAAATCCTCCTTGTCGATTTTGAATGAATGCAAAATACGATATATTTGACTAAATATTTGGTGAAAAGCATGTTTTGTTTTGTTATAAAAACAATACCATCAATTAGATTTCTACAAAATTTATATGAGAGTAACGTTTGAAGATCAGTCAACAATTCGCGATAAAATCTGTAAACCTACATAAAAAAGCATACATCGCCGTCGCACATATAACCTCTTCATTTTCGAATTGAAGTTGGGTAATGATGAGTATGTATGATTGACTTTAATAATTTTTATAAGTACATTATTTATATTGTATTTTTATTTGAACATACTTTTAAATAGACTTACATTAGCAGGTTTTCCCACAGTCTTAGCCAGTATTGGTATGATTTTGTCCACAAACTCATTTGGTATTTTATTCTTAGGTAAATTTGTCAATATCTTTAAACAAGGCATTGTGCTATTATAACGCGAGAATCGTTTCCATACGACTGATTAAGAATGTTGAGAGCATATAAACTAGTAAGAGTACAGTGATAATATTATGAGCTGTTTGTTATTTATCGTTTTTTATCTGTCACTCATTATCGAGGAGAGTTACTTTGTTATTATAATATGTCTAGATGTTTTATTTAGAAGAAATTGAAAAGTTAAGTAAGTTCATTGATTGGTTAGCTTTTTGTATTAACTGACTATTTTTAAATATGGGTCATGAAAAGTTTTTAGATGATTTTTTCCTTCCAATCCCTCCATACACACAGCATCACTTTGTTGCAAGTAAACCCGGGTTTCACTATGGTCTGTGAAGCCTCACCGACCTTTCTCACACTTTCTTATTGTACGTGATCCACTTTTTATCACCCATAATTAACTTAATAAGTAATAAAGATCACCATCGTGAATCATCGTGAGGTACCCAAATATCCAACTTTTTGTGTACCCAAATACCCAGCTTTTTTCATGTGCGCCAAAACTTTTTTGTGGTTAATCCCCAGTTCTTCAGCTACGTCGTAACTACTGATATGCCGATCTTGCTCCACTTTTTCCAAAATGGCATCCATTTTATCCGTAACAGGGCGACTGGAGCGATGTTCATCTTTGACATCAAAATTCCCGGACAGAAAACGCTTAAACCAAATTTGTGCTACTCTCACAGAAACTGCACTAATTTTTTTCGCCAATCTTTGATTTCCAAATCAAAGAGGAGGATCAATTAAATATATAATGTGTGTTTTTTTAATAAGAATAGCTTAATTGAAATTGAAGAGTGATCATTAAAAGCCTATCGCCTTTCCTATGGATAAAATCAAAGCGAATAGGGAGAGTAGACCATGATACACTACGCGGGCCCAGGGTGGGTTGGTGAGTATCAACGACTGCCTATGAGCCGGGACTAACCGGTTCGAGATAATAAACTTTTGGTCACCCATTCTATGATCGACCATTGCGAAAGTGGCCTAACTTCCGCAGACCGGATCGCTAAACACAGCGCCATCAAGCTTCTCAATCGAGGAGGAAAAGAATCGAATTATGACAGTTAGTGTGAAATTGCTTTTCAAACGTTTATGACAAAACATGAAAAACATGTGAGTTTACAAAATTATATCGATGGAAATAAATCTCAAAATTACCCCGTAAAATTCACCATTTTCCGATTTATTATCGAATTATACTATTTCTCTTGCTGGGAAATTCGATAAATGTGCAAGTCTCTCTATAACTGAGAGCTATATTTCATGCTTACACAGCAATCGTAATGGTTTGCAATTCAGCATCTCTGCTCCTATCTATCTCATTGTCGTCTTTGTTTTGACGCCAAACGATTTGAAATTGATCCATTATATATAACGCACGGGCGCAGTGGCGGCGGCGACCGCGGTGCACGCACGGTTCGCGTGGCTTTACAGTTTGTATAGTTTGCATCGCCACCCGCGCCACGGGTCTCCAGAAATAGTCTATTCATCGTGATTCGTGCGTTATTTTTTCTAATTTTAACAGAATTTATTAATAAGATGTCGTATACAATGAATGCAAGAATGGCATATCCGGATATTACTGTTGTTTCTTTCACGGGGATGGATAAAGGCAAATATTTCATACCGTTTTATAATAAAACGAGAGCTAAAGTTAATACTTAGTTCAAACCATTGGCCGCCTAAAGCAAATTGACAATGAATAAAAAGAAAAAAGTGTGTACTTATTTTGGTACTCGAGTCAGTCCTCTATTTATAATAAGACGGTTGGGGCTTAGCTAAAATATTAAAACTGATCTAAGCATTTTACATCATTTTTGAATCCCTATTGGACCTAGAAAAGTTACAATAATGTAAATATAATTATATTTGAATAAAGTCTACAACAGTATGCTACATTATATATACTGCATTATACACTTTTAATCCGCAACTATAACTGGTTACTTCTCTTTATACTCATACGTTAATGTAACTCCTGTAAAAATTTGAATAGCAATTTGTGTCCTCTATGAAATAAATTACCCATTTTTACATATCGCTACTATCACTCACTCGCCCACAGAATAACGTGGTAATCACAGAACATTGGTGGTAATATTAAAATGACAACTTTACAGGGTAAAATAAAAACATAAATTGGTTAATATTTTAAAAAGTACTGGATGAAAATAATTTCTCTTGATATTAATTTAAATAACATTTTTTCTTCTAACTTATACAATAATCATAAAATAATTTAATAAGTTATTCTAGGAAATATTAAGAAAAATGTAATATACCACATATATTTTCTCTGATTCTGATTGCAAGTGATGTGACAACGTTATTTTACATAAATATCCTTTATGACAAGTGCGGCAACTATACATAACAACAGTTTTCAATGTATTTTGACATGTATTTCACCCTAAGTAAGAGCTTTTTACGACTTTTTTCTGGTAAAGATTTAGAAAATTTCATAACGTAACAAAATATATGTTCTTATTCCCAACTAATTCTGTTTAAACCAGATGATGCATCAATTTAATACAATAACATAAAATAGCAATAGGTTTCAATTAAAAAAATCTATTTATTTTTTAAATTGCAACCTATAACATTTTTAATAAAACTTTAACGTAATATTGTTAAAAAATTATTATCTTATGTAAATATTAAGCTTAATAATTCATATTTTATTACTTTCATTTATCACATAAGCTATTATAGTATACTTTTGAACATTGTACAAATAAATCTCTTTCATCTTTATTTTTATTTCATTTTATTTTATCTTGTTTTATTCACAATATTATCAAACTAGCCTTCCGCCAGCGGTTTGGCCCGCGTGGACTGCACTATGGTATCCCGCGGGAATGTACATATTGTAGCCTATATGTTATTCTGATGTATAACTTACATATATTTAGTAATATGTATAACTTACATATATTTAGTAATATGTATAACTTACATATATATAGTAAATGTTTCATCCAAATCCGTTAAGTAGTTTTTTTTTGTGAAAGCCTAACATACAGACATGCTTCCCCAAAAAATTTTCGCATTTATAAGTAGGATAAATCTAGACAAGGATGATAAAAATATGAGTTTTATATTATAATCAACAGCATTTTATAAAAATCGAAATTTTTATAAAAAATAAGTAACTAAACAATAAACATAATTTATTTCTAGATCTAACAATTATTCATGAATGGCACTTTAAAACAATTAATAATAATAACTAAATAATTCTGTTTGCAGTATCTTCTAAATTCTAATTAAAATATTTTCTTTAATCAACTATATTTATTGTCTTAATCACTATGTATGGTCTGGTTTCAATCATTTTCTGAAGATTGATTGAAACCAGACCAGTTTCATGAGTTTCATGAGATTGGTTACATTCATCACATTTGAGGGATTTGTAAAAGCCGTGATAATGTTTAGGTATAGCTTCAGTTTTACACAGATTTAAAAGATCGTAGTAAAGAGGCTTCGGTATGGAAAATGGTGTATTATAAGCTTGTTTTAAAATGTCTATCGAGTCAGGAATATTCGCATCAGTATCATTATTTTTTTTGGATCTTCTTCCACGTGTATATTTAGAAAAAGTTTTTAGTGATTCAAATTCGGATTCGAGATCATATTTAAAAAATAGTGTATCAGGATCTGTGCCGAATGTGCTGACTTGTTTTATTTTTGACCACATAACTTTGTTACCTTTAAAATCCCGTAGCCAATATCTTTTATCTATGAGCTCTTTAATATCATAGAAATCGGATTGTTGCATTTCTTTTAACACATAAGTTTTACCTTGTATTTTGGAGTTTAAAATTATGGCGTACATTTGATCAGGAGTATAAATAATTTTGTTATTTTTAGCTCTTTCTATACATGAATGCATGGCATCGCCTTCTGACTGACTGTGCCCAACTTCAAAAAATCGATGGGTGATATTAATACCATATTTTTTAGTAACATATAAATAAAGGGCAAATATAAATTTATTTTTATTTTGCCCGGCACAGCTATCAGAAAAAAAAGAAATATTTTGAATTCCCTTTGTGTGTTCATTTTCGATGAAATTTAAAAGACAACTACCGATTTCTATAGTTCCCCTTTTGGCTATTTCATAGTGCCAAACGTAGCAGTATCCTTGTAGATTTAAAATGTTAAATATGGTAAAATTATAGATAGGGTATTTCCTCTTATAATAAAATACTCCTTCGTTTGACTGAGGGATATTTAAGACTTTCTCGAGATCAAAGGTAGCAACTGTCGTAACTTTAGGGTCAGAAGTACTTTTTTCATTATTCTTTATTTCTCGAACTTTTTCTTTGTTCTTCAGGTGTGCTCTATAAGTTTCTTCGAGAGTAACCTTTCTTTCCTCTTCAGCCTCTTCATACAAAGCACAAGCAGCACATCGATCTTTATTGGGTTTAAAAAATGAATAATTAAAACGTGTATTAAATATAGTTTCATACTGTCTTTTGGTAGCTTCTGTGGTATCTGGATAATCGGTTTTGTAATTACTAAACCACTCATTATACAGGCGATACATTTTACTTACGTTTAAATTTTCTGACAAATACAATCTCTTTGATTGTTTTCTTGTGTAATGTGATTCTACTACAGGGAAGAGCTTAATGTGCGTTAAAATGCTATGTTCAGTCCATATATTCATTTTTCGTGGTCTATTGTGATGTGTTCCCCTTTTGTCTTTTATGTTTTCGTCATTTTTACTCTTTTCTATAGCTGTATAAACACTTCTTTCAGATATGCTTAACGTGTTCAAAAAAAAAGATTTACAAACCTGTTCTTTGGATCCATTTAATGGTAAAAAATAAGTTATTGTCTGTAATCGATTAGCTTTTCTCTCTATTTGCATTCTTTTGATGTTATTAACTATTATATATCTTAAAATGTATTGCCATTGACCTTCATGATCACCAATTCTCCAATAAGACTCAAATATAGCTTTCCTGGATTCCTCATTGAACTTTTCGCAGCATTTTTTTTTGCAATTGCAAGAATCTCGAATGGATTTTGAGGGATACACTTTTTTAGAACGGACCCCGGTATAAGACTGCCCAGAATTCTTAAGTAGTTTGTTCTTCTTATCTTGCCATTCATTTGTGTTTTGTTTTCGTTTTCTAGTCAAAGTTTTACAGTAGACTTCTGTATTTTCTTCTTCAGACCCATTTTCACCTTCTGACTTATTTTCTGCTCCAGGCTTATTTTCTTCTTCCGTTTGTTTTTCTTCTTCAGGTTTATTTTCTTCTTTGGTCTTAGTTTCTATCTCGGATTCATTTTTTTTTCGTATTGAATTTTGATAGTTTAAAATGTCATTTTCCTCAATAGGCTTTCCAAGTGACTTTGATATATGTTCTTTTCTTTGGAAAATACTCGTATTTATGCCATAGCTATCATTTACTTCATGGATGTTTTCTAAGACAGTGGTTTGAAGTATACTAGTTGAAGTATTGGATTTACTTTGAGTGCTCATGTTGTCTTCGTTTATGTTATAATTATGTAATGTATAATCATCGAGATCCAAGTAAGTCATGCTGTTTATATTATCAATGCATTCATCACCCACTTTACGTTTCTCAATATAATTTCGATCAAATTCTTCATTTCGAAATTCAGAACCTATTGTGCTTATTGAAGAGCTAGCAACATCACCAACTTTGTGTATGACACTCGGCGAAGCTATAAAATCAACGTTGCTCAATAAGCCTGATAAATTGGAAATCGTTGAAGGTGTTTTAATTACATTATTATTATTTAAATAATTTGTTATATATGGCGAAACTGATCTTTCTGAGAGGTAATCAAAGTCATCTGGAGATAAATCTCTTCGAAAGTTTTTACTGTCCGAGTCACTTTCTTGTCGCGGGATATGATTCAGTTCGCTACTGCCATCATGTTTGAGGTTTTCAAAACCATTTTCTGTTACTGAAATGAGAATGCAAAAAGTGGTGTTGAGTAACTAGTAACATTAATGAACTAATTTTTAACGATTATTTCGCGATTTCCTTAATATATTTATGTTTCGTTTTCATGAAGTTTCGTGATCAACACCGTTGAAAAATGGTCGAACGTCGTGTCTAAAATTAATATATATTAATAAAATCACGAAATAATCCGTGACTTTTATTTCATTAAATTAGTAAAGCTCAAGTAAATATTCATAAAAATAAAAAAAGTAACATTTACGCATATGCTGTCTTCCGCTATATATGGCTGATATTATCGTGTCTGTCTAATAGGGCTGACGAGGTACAAATTTATTTAAAATAAAATATTATTCCATTAATCAATTAATAAATTCTTACTTATCGAATGTGAATGACAGTACCAGTTTCACAAGTAGGTATATAATAATTTTATTTGAAACTGTATCTAAATTAAATTTAAACAGTTATATTAAGAATAACAGTTACATTAATTTTCGAACAATTATCTCGTAAATAATTAATAAATACTCGTCTACACAGATAGCCATAATTTACAAGCAATGTATTATTTTCATTATCACCAGTATCACCAGCCCTTTAACGTCCCCACTGCAGGGGCTCAGGCCTTCCTTACGGATGGTTAAAGAGGACGGGCCATGACCCTCCACGCTGGCCCAATGCGGATTGGAGGGCACATTAACGACTGCAAATGCAGCCGGGACCAACGGCTTAACGTGCCTTCCGAATTACGGAGTAGCTCGAGATAATAATTTTTTGGTCACCCATCCCGTGACCGACCCTTGCGAAAGCCGCCCAACGACCACGATCGCGGGCCGCGGCGCCTACCCACTACGCCACCGAGCTACAAATATATCATAATGTACCGGGATTTGGACCTTTAACCTAGCAGCCTACACAAGACATAGTACAAGATACAATTACTTACAAACTACAATTATACTAATTTCTCACACAACATAATAAATACTTATATAGCTACAAATTTCAGGCCCAGAGTAAAAAATACAAACGATGATTTTTTCAATTCCAATACGCAACGTTGGTTGACAGGCCGTGACTACATCTATAATAAATACACCCCTAAAATAATGTTAGACTACAAATTAAACTAAATATGGTAATGAGTGTGAACTTACTTTCTTCATTCATCTTAATCATGGTTAACATCCTTTTCACTCGAGGATTTTTAAGTATTTTGTTTGCATATCGATTAATTAATAATTATATAATGACGATTATAATGTTGTAAATTAAATTAGACACTTTGTAACTATTCATAAAACACGATTATTATGCGCCACCAAAGGGTTACGACGGAATGATGAAAATAAATAAACAAGTTACAACCTGTAATGCTCCAATACTTATTAAAGGTGGGGATCGTTGTGGTGCTCGGGACCGAGTAATACATTTGTTTACATCGCGATATTTAGATGCAAGATTCATTTACAATAATATCGGAAAAAGTATGAGGTAAAATATTGTTACAGTTTCATATATTTTATATTATTTCAAGAATAATGGCATGTTTAAAACTTACGACAACTCGAATCAAATTCATGATGAGGTAAATTCAAAGACAGCATATAAGGTGTATATTTTTTTACCAGAATAAAGTCGTAAAGTGGTTTACTAGATTCGCACGTATGATAATGTTCTGGAATAGTGTCGCCATCGATGAATACGTAACAGAGGCAAAAATGTTTGCATTGTACTTGCTTGTTTCTATTTTATTCTCATAAAATATTTTTTAACAATGATCCCTAGAAAAAAGTTGTCTTAGTGTATAATTATGCTAATTATTCGAAAATAAATATAAAAAAAATAAATGATAGTATCGGCATCCTAGAAGCCAAAAATGGAAAAACCTTAAAAAAGGCGTAACGTAGCTTTACCACGTCCTTTTTCGGGGGCAGCGATATAATACGAAGTACTTTTCTTTACGTCACCGAGTCAATTTTTATACTGTATGAGAAACGTCCTTTGTTTATTATGTTTCATTGAATCGTGAATTTTATTTTCTTAAGACATTTTCATGTGTTTTTGTTTATGTTAGTTTGCAAGTTTTAATAATCTTGTAAGATTTTGTAAATTATTTTGACAGGGGTGAGTAAGGGGTAATCTTCGGAAATGCTGATCTATCTGAGTAAATTAATATAGTCCTATACAAGTAAAATATATACTAAGTTAGGTTTCAGCATATAAATAAGTCTGATTCACGTTATCATATTTTGTATTGAATTTTCCGCAGTATTAGAATATCATAAATTGACAAAACCTATATAGTATAGAATATTTTTTTTAAATGAAATAATTTTTTTCTTTATCTTATTTCATTTTATTATATAGTTTTTTTTAAAGGTCAACGTTCAGTTCGGTTTTAGTTTCATTAAAAAAATCTTGCACCTTGTATATTAATTATAATTTAATAGTACAAGGTGCAAGATTTATAGTCGTAAATATCTAACATAGAGTATCACACGAACTAAATGAGTTTCCTTGTCAATCACTTCAAACTCATAATTAAAAGTTTATTATTTACGAGTAATAAACAATTATAAGTTTATCTACACTCAAATCGAAAAAATCGAATTGCGAATTCAAAGGTGATTCTATACATACGCACTTTATAAACGCATATACATAAAATTAAAAATAAAACTCATTATAGTACCGCAATCTTTTTTTATTCATTTAACTAGCTAGTCTATGGTTTTAGGCTGAATATAAAAAAAAGACGCACGCATGTGCAGTTCGAATTGTGAAAAAAATGGCGCACGCATAAATTACTTCCTAGTAACCTACCTACTTTGTTTAATTTAAATTTTTCCTATAAGTGAAGATAGGGTAGTGTTTGAAACTTCATATAACTTAGGTATTTAAACACTCGAGTCAACCTATTATCACTTTTTTAATACCCCTTCTTATATGACAGTTGCATAAACTGATATTCAATTTAATTAAATTCAATTTAACTGATATAAAATGTAATAGACTTTTTGACTCATCAATTCGCACTGGGCCAGTGCAAATCAATCCTTCAACTACTTTATTACCGCAACTCTTAAAAATACAAATATTAAAACTTTAAATGATTAAAAAAATGACGAATTCCCAGAATTTATTTCGTTTCTTATAGATAATGGTATGAGAACACACATAGTATGTTAATGTCGTCAAATTTTCCATTTTATCGGTTTCTTTAATGGACTAGCTGACGAAGTTTTTGAATATTTATATTTTTCAATAACTCGCCTTTTCGTGATTTGAATGACGTCAAATGTTTGAAAACATTATTCAGCTGAAAAACGATACAAAGCTACACCAAACACACATCTCGAGCGCATATCGCTTGAGTTGACATGTATAGTGTGATAGAATTGTATTGATCCATTGGAGCTTAATTAATATTGTTTTAGGGACAATATTTCATTATTATTTTTTTCTATTTTATATTCCGATATGTAAGTATATTCATTTTTTTTAAGTAGCTCGGTGGCGTAGTGGATAAGCGCCGCGCCCCGCGATCGTGGTCGTTAAGCAACTTTCATAAGGGTCGGTCACGGGATGGGTGACCAAAAAATTATTATCTCGAGATACTCCGTGCTTCGGAAGGCACGTTAAGCCGTTGGTCCCGGCTGCATTTGCAGTCGTTAATACCCTCCAATCTGCATTGGGCCAGCGTGGAGGGTCATGGCCCACCCTCCTTAACCATCCATAAGGAAGGCCTGAGCCCCTGCAGTGGGGACGTAAAAGGGCTGGTGATTTTATTTTAATTAAATACCAGTCAGTTTTGTATTTTTTATTTCCATATTTGCGCTGTAAAGTTGCAAGAAAACATTTAGTAAAAAAAAATCCTGAGACGAGTAGCTAAAGCACGCGTATTGTAGAGTATATGTAAAATAAAGAAAAGAAAAAAGAAAAGAAAAATTTCTACATTGACCTGATCGGTAAACGAACCCGGATCCTCAGCTAAATTGGCGTGTGAACCCTTAGCTACGGAGCACATACAAAAAAACTGAAATAGTGTGAGAATAATCGCGAAGCAAACATGATATAAAATCGAATAAGTTGACTACTTATTTATTTTATAAATAATTTTATTTAATGCCATATGTATTTTTAACAAATTTTCAATTCAAGTCGGATATTTGAAGTTAGTGTAATAAAAAGTATTTTGTTAAATGTTTATATTTTCCGAACATATAACATAAACTTGTATTTTCACTTATAGAAGACAACCTTATTGCGCACGGGCATATGCTGTTATGAAAACAAAGTAAAGGAAAGTTTTAAGTGTAAGTTATCGCCAACAGCTTAATTACAGGCTCTTCCGAATTTATGTAATGTGAACGATGTTTTGTTGAAAAAGTATACAGAAGGTACTTAAGCTAAACCAAATAAACATATTTATAATAATGTTCATTTATTTATCTTTATATTATCATTGTTATCTTACGCTTACATTATGTGAAATCAACATTCTAATATGACTAAAAAATAACAGATTTGAAAAAATTACAGATTTCTATTATGTATGCTATAGATTAGGTGATTGGACGGGCTTGATAAATAATAATCGTGCATTATGAAAAATGCCCAATATGAGATGAATGTGATAAAAACTCTAAAAATTGCCCAGTAAAATAATTGAAATGAGATTTTATTACGGTACTATTTTTATTTCAATAATAGATATAATAAGCTTAGCTTTAGAATAAGCAACCCTACGTTTTTTTTTATCGATAGAGATATGAAAGAGTATATATTTCATACTTAATTGAAAGTGGTGAATAAGCCTGTATGTTACATGGTAGGTAGGTAATTTTTTTTTGTCTTCAGACTATAGAAATCACACGGCACTACCAAAACCAATGACGTGATGTATTATTGATTTTATGGATTTAAATGTAATTGTTTCCTGATAACGAGACTCTTCCGTAGAATCAAATTGCTGTCCTTCCCTATGTTATTAAATTCAGGTAGGTATTTTAATTTTACCACAGTAACCATCTTGATATTCCATAAAATCGTAAGTTTGTTGATATACAAAATATTTAAATTTAAAAGTAATAATAAATATAAAAACGCAAAATTAACGCAGCTCAAGTAAGTACCGTTAGTTTATATGGTTTTAGACGGTTATCTCGTTACGAACCGTTAAGCATAAAGCCTCATTCAGACCAGTATTAGGTGCATAACGTATCCACCATCTGTGGTCATTTAAATATATTGTGCGCAGTCGATATATATCTCAAATCAAATAATACTATTTATTCTGTTTGTGTCTGTGACGTAATTAATAAAAATCTGCAAGTAATTTCTTGATTTTTTAAAACAAGGGAGCAACAAGCCCTTTCGTACCTTTGCGGATCCAGAATGCGATACCTGAAAATCTTAAATACTTTACTAGTAAGGCCCCTATTTTTTGAGTGTTTTTGTTGCATTTTAATTTCCAGAGTTTTTAATAGAAAGTGTTGACAGTTGACATAGGATTCACAGTAGTAATGATATAGCATATTTAGTAAGTTTAAATATTTTCAAACACCCCATAGATACCTACTTCTGTATACGAGCACTATAGTCACCCATCTCTATGCAAAAAAATATTTGTAGTAATAATAATAGCTGATTAATACCTGTGACTTGACTTGTGTCTGTGTTTATACAAGAATTATATGAATAATCTTTCTATCAATACAAATGTTTAACACATTTCGTTGTATTTATTGAGTAATGTGGTACTTCGCGTCCAATCGGTGTATGCTCAGCAGTGGGCATCTAAAGACTGATGATGATGTTGATACTTCGCAATAAAAAACCATATGTAATGAACTAAAATACTAAATTAGGTAAAAATTGGGTCCTAAATCTTTTCCAACTAATAAGGTGTAAAGGCGTCTCCAAGATTTTTCTTAAGAACCGTAAAATTTATTATGTGTGAATTAAAAACAAGCCTTCTTATCACTAGGCTTATCAAAAGCTTATTTTAATAGTTTCGTCACACAAATGTTGCATAATGATACACCCGCAAAAAAGCCAGTTTTACATATCTTCGTGTCTTTACATGGATGTGTCTGGTACGTACGCAGTCTGATAGTATAAACGGTCCTTAGGGCAGCGTGTTGTAACGTGAATTATTGAATAAT